AGTGGCAGGTAGGATAGAGGTTTGCGCCTTGAGCGGGGAAGGTGGGGAGGAACTTTTTGACAGGGATGCCGAAGTGGGATTGAGGTTGGTTAGAGATTATTTGAATGAGGCCATGGAGGAAATGGGTCCCTCTTTTCTTGAGATTGCTGCTGCCGAGGTTAAGGAGAATAGGATGGATTCGAGTGGGTCTGCTTGCCAGGCAGGGGAAGTGAAAGACGCTGATCAATGTATTGAAAAATTGGAAGCGAAGGGTAAGAGTTCTGTAGATGATGGGATTGGTGAGAAATGTGAGGGTTTAGGTGATGTTTGCATGCGGGGTTTGGAAGATAATGATGTTCTAAAAGCTTCGAAGGTTGTGGAAGTTGTTTCGACGGAGAACTTAGAAGATGATAGAATTAGAGAAGAATCACGGGGCCTGTGTAATGCTTCAACAGAAGGTGATGGTTGCTATGGTGCTGAGGGGTTTGCGCTCGAACCCATGGTGGACGCTGGTATAGTTTCTTACTTGAATTATAGCTTTCATGTATTTTTTGTTGTATTTTATGGTATTATTTTATTTGATTTGTATTCTTTTTTATTTCTTTTATGCTCTAAGACTCCTCTATAAGAGTGAACTTAATATTCTTGAGAGAGGTGTAGAGGAGAAGTGTTGAGTTATAATCCCAAGCAGTTTTTCTTTATCTCATCCGATGCTAGTGAAATCTCTCTCATCGTGGTTGTTTGCGAATTAATTTAACACCGAACCACATAAATCTTTTGTGTTTAATTTTTGTTGCGTAAATTTCTACACTTCCACTTTGTTTTCGCATGACAATTGGTATCAAAGTTTCAGGTTCGTGATCGTAGCGAGGTTTAGCATTGAAGACAACAAATTCGACATATGTTGTTAGAGAATTTTCAGGTGGTCTGACGTGCAGATTGGAGGCAGGCTAGAGACTGGGTGCGGAGTTTGGGCTATTGCAGGAATTCGTGTTATATGCAGTTTTTCACAGTTTGTTTATAGATGATTTGTGCTAAATTCTGGATACTTGTGCTACCCATCACATTTGTCCCAATCGATGATGATTTTGTAAGTACAAGGAGCTGGATAACATTTCAATAGCTGTGAGTAACGATCAAACTTATCGTGCTATTGGTTTAGGGAGTATCTTTATCAGGCTGAATGAGTAAACTATGAGAGAGCTGATCGATGTTAAACATGTTCCATATATCAGAAAGAATTTGCTATCTGTTGGGGTTTTAAAGTCCAAGGGCTATAATATAGTTATTGAGATAAGAGTTTTGAGGATATGTTGTGGAGTAATGATTTTTTTGAAGAGAATTCACTATCATAATCTTTACTATTTTTCAGAGTAGTATGGTGATTGGAACGACTGTTTTTGTTGATAATTCTTCTGACATCATTTTGTTGTGATATACGTGGGTAGCCATGCGGGAGAGACTTCACATCAGACTTGTGAAGAAAACATTGATCAAAGGAGCGAGCACCTGCAAGCTAGATTTTTGTGAACATTGTGTTTAAAAAGAAGACATGTGTTTTTTGATACTGCCATTCACAATATAAAAGATATTTTAGAGTATTTTCACACAAATGTTTAGGGCCCAACGAATACGTCATTCAGCGGGCGAAGACATTTTGTCCCGTTTATTGATGATTACTCCATATATTTTTGAGTGTACACCATGAAGCGTAAAAGCGAAGTGCTGAAGATTTTCATAATTTGGAAGATATAGATCGAGACTCAGACTGGTAAAAAGATCCGGTGTATCTTATGAGACAATGGAGGCGAATACACTTCAAATGCATTCTTGCAAGTAGGGCTGTAAACGAGCCGAGCTTGAGCGAGCTCAGGCTTGGCTCGTGTTCGGCTCGTTCGAAATAGCTCGTGTTCGAAATCGGCTCGTGAACAGTGTGTTTGTGTTCGACTCGATTTAAATATTCGTGTCCGTGTTTGGCTCGCGTTCAGCTCGAAATTGGCTCGTTAAACTAAAATTGAGAAAAATATATATAAAGTGTGATATTCAAACCTGGATCAAATCTATACAAAAGATCACATTTACCACATTGCCACATGAGGTGTTATGATTTAAATTTAGACATAAATATATATAATATATTATTATATAAATAATATATGTAATATATTGTAATATAAAAAGTTATATAATTTTTTTTTCGAGTCATTTCGAGCCGAACAGGAGCGAACAAACTGCTGTTCGTGTTCGGCTCGTTTCAATTTCGAGCTTAAAAATTTGTTCGTGTTTGGCTCGTTAGGCTTAACGAACGAGTCGAACACGAGCTGCTTAACGAGTCGAACACGAGCTGTTCACAAACAACGAGCCAAATTGACAGCCCTACTTGCAAGAGTGTCAGAGAGTTGAAATAAAACACTAATTCACTGTTCGAGAGACCCCACAACAGAACGGGGTGAAAGAGAGGATGAACCAGACTTTGTTAGAGAAAGTTTTGTTTATGTTATTCAATGTTGGGTTGGATAAAATCTTTTGGGCCGAATCCATAAAATATGTCACTTATTGAACCGTCTGCCTTCTGTCGCTATTGGGAATGATATTCTAAAGGAGATGTGGTTGGGGCATCTGCTAGAGATTTTAAGCACATAAGAGTGTTTGAGTATCAAGCGTACAACCACGTGCAAAATGATAAACTAGAATCAAGAGCAAAAAAGATAATTTCCACTGGCTTCAGGCGTGGAGTCAAGGGCTTCAATTATATGATTGGTCAGAAAAGAATATTGTTATTAACATGGATGTTACATTCGATGAGACAAACTTGTTAAAAAATCGGGACTAGAAAACAGGTGAAAAGTTCTACTTGGAGCACAGATATGCACCAGAAGTTGGAGTTTGATGCAACTCACAATTGTTCCACAGAGTTTGTCCACTCCAACTCAGATACCTGATTCAGTTGCAACTTAGTTAGCATTTGTTGATAATGCTCATGAGGAGGTGGAAGAAAATGTTGAGTATGAGATTCCTTCTTAGGAATCTATTGCGAGGAGCAGGACCAGATGCCCGAATATCACAAAACCAACATGATTAAGAGATCACATTGCATTTGCACTTTCAACCATAGAGACATAAATTTTTTTGTCACTATAAAAAAAAATGTGGATAGCCCAGACTGTGATCTTTGGAGAGCATCAATGGACGAAGAGATTGAGTGATATCAGAGGAGAAAATCCAAATCACAAAAGAAACACAAATATTACTATTGAATTTGAAATTGGTTACAATGATTCTTCAAAACATGAAATAAACGACAAACAAACACAAAAACACAAGCCAACACCTTGATAGTGTATTCCAAGGGCAGTGGAGGTTGGCCCAGTGGATCCAGAGGCTTAATAAAGCAAGTGTGAATGCGGGAGAGGGACCTGTAGGGAACTGGAGGAGGGTGACTGCAGGTTAAGGTGGCGGGAAGGTTTGTTGGGCGGCTAGGAGGTAGATTGGAAGGTGGGGTAGTAAGCTGGGAAAGTGGGGCAGCAGTGGGGAAGGCTTGTCAGCACTTTTGGAGGGTGGACGGTGGTGGGGCAGCAGTGGGGAAGGCTTGTCAGCACTTTCGGAGGGTGGACAGTAAGCGGGAAAGCGTTGACAGTGATGGGAAAGGTATGGACAACAAGGTAGACTGTTGGAATTGTGTTGGCTGAGTGCTAGGAGGAATTCAGGGCAGATGGATAGCATGAAGGGCGGCTGAGTGGTGGGATGAAGTATGGGGAGCTGGGGCCTTGCTGGGAGAAGGCTGACAACAGGTTAGAGGGAGGACAACAACTGATGGTTGTTGTGGAAGTAGTGCGGTGGACTGTTATAGTGTTGGAAAGCCTGTGAACAACAATAGTAACGGTGGAAGTATAAATAAATATCTCGTTGGAATTGAGCTATAGACGGAGCACCACTTAGACCCGTGGAGACGATCACCATCTCGGACGAGGGACAACCGAAGCACTAACTCTACGTTAAATCCCTCAAAGGGGAAAATAACATGGCTAAATCCTGTTTTCAGATATAAAAAACAAGGTCCCTAATTGTAAGCGCGCCACTTCCTATTTATAAAGAGGCTTGATCTATTTTAGGAAGGATTTCAGATTTTGAAGAGACTTTAAAAATAAGATAGGAGAATAAAAAAGATTTCATATTTTTGGTAAGACTTTTAAAATAGGTAAGGATAATAAAAAGAGATTTTAGATTTTAAGAAACACTTTTAAAATAAGCAAGAAGAATAGAAAAAGATTTCAGATTTTAGGAAATGATTTTAAAATAAGGAAGAAGAATAAAATTAGAATTTTAAGTTTTAGAAATGAATTTAAAATGGGAAAGTGTTTAGGAAGGAAAGGTGAGGGGAGAGAAAGGAGAGGTGAGGAAGGAAAGGGGAGGAAGAAAAGGAAGCGGAGAAAGGAGGAAAGTAAGGAAAAGGGAGGAGGGAAATTGAGAAAAGGAAGGAGGGGAGGCCGCCCCCTCCCTTGAGAACCTGTCGGTTTTTCCCCGAGCCTCGCGCCAATCTCCGAGGGTTGGAAAAGCTTCGACTTTATTTGTCGAAGCTTTTGGTTCTCTGTGACCGTTCTTGGATGCTACCGATGACTGCCCTGGCTCCCAAAGAGTCTGAGGAGCTTTTCCCACCTACGAGCATACCTCTTTATCGATCTATTTTGGTTTGACATAATCTGAGCTGAAGGTACACATCAGGTTCTCCGGAGCCAAATTTTGAACAAGTAAATATCTAATATGCTTCTCATCTATGATAAGTTTGGCCTCAACGGGTTTAAGGGTTTGCAAGAGTTTGGTTGATGGTTGATTCTTATTATCTTCTGGATTCTCCCTCTGACTATTGAAGTTTTGAAGAATTGACATTTTCTGTTTCGTTCCAATAACAAGAACTTCACCCTGACCTTTTGTCTGTTCATGTTGAACATTGGGGGTGAGGGTTGAAAGTGTAACTGACTATGATGCTATAAGTTGATCTTTACTAAAACCATCCACTGAAATTTTAAATTCTGACATCTTCTGGTCTGTGTGGCTTTTGTATGTCTCAATAATAAGTTTTCCATCTTCTAGGAGAGTAGGAATCACAATCTCATCAAAAGTTGCATGTTCCTTTTGATCACATGAAGGAAAGCATCGAAGGTATCCACAAATTAGGGAGTTCCTCGGGGGAAGCGTCATCGACTAAAAATTCTCATTCGAACTGCTCTTCAATGTCGTTACCTTAGGTTTCAACAATGCACTATTCCTTGAAATAAATCATTCCTCTGATTGTGCATTCTACTTACACATGATTGAATCCGTGGCACTTACAACATTTTATGGAAGTGACAGACTTATGGATTGGTTTCGCTGAATAGCAGCACAGAGGGGTGTCGCTTGGTGATAAAGTCTCACATCTTCAGAAGCCAGAGCATGCAACTTTTGGCGACATTATGTTGGTAGGAACCAACGCTGTGTTGTCTCATTTATCTTCATATTTTCTAATTCTTCCCTTCGACTTCCCAGATCACGGTTGAGGGTAACTTCCCATTGGATTTTCTCTTCAATTTCCATAAGCCTCTATTGGAGGCGATGGAGTTCTTGTCATATCTCTTCTCGGGTAGGCTTGGACATATTTCTTCTTCGCGACACAGTTGACGGTTTTGGGATCTCGGAGGAAAGAAAGAAGGAACAAAGAAAGAAGAGAAAAAAAAACACAAAAGAAAGAGAAAAAAAATTTAGTGTGGTCGATTGGGTAGGGGCGGATGCTAGAAACCCTTAGATGAGACTAGAGTTCGACTTCCTCCAATGCCAAATAATACCGGAGGAGAAAAACTAATTCAAAAAGAAACACAAATATTATTATTGAATTTGAAATTGGTTACAACGACTCTTCAAAACATGAAATATGCGATAAACAAACACAAAGATACAAGCTAATACTTTGAAAGTATATCCCAAGGGCGTTGGAGGTTGGCCTAGTGGATCCGAAGGCTTGGGACAACAAGTGTGAATGTGGGAAGGTTCGTTGGGCGGTTTGAAGGTAGGTGAACTGGAGGAGGGATGCAACAATTTAAGATGGCGAGAAGGTTCGTTGGGCGGTTTGGAGGTAGGTTGGAAGATGGGGCAATAATGAGGAAGGCTCTTCAACACTTTCGGAGAGTGGATAACGAACGAGGAAGCGTTGGCAGCGATGGGAAATGCTTGGTCGGCAAGGTAGACTGAGTATTGGGAGGAATTTTGGACAGGTGGACAACAAGATTGGGTTGTTCAGGAAGAGTGGCTGAGTGTTGTGATAGAGTATGGGGTGTTGCCTTGCTGAGAGAAGGCTGATAACAGGTTGGAGGGAGAACAACAACCGGCGATTGTTGGGGAAGAGGTGCGGTTGCTGGCTGTTGGGCGGTGAGGCGGGTGGACAACGACAGTAAGAGTGGAGGGATAGAGAAATATCTTGTTGGGGTTGAGCTACAGTCAAAGAACCATTCGGATCAGTGGAGACGATCACCATCTCGGACGAGGACAATTGAAACACTACCTCGACGTCGGATACAACTCTCGAAGGGAAAATACCAAGGCTTAAACCTGATTTGAGATATCAAAAATAAAACCCCTAACTTTAAGCATATCACCTTCTATTTATAAAGACACTCAACTTATTTTATGAATGATTTCATATTTTGGAATGACTTTCAAAATAAGAAAAGAGAATAAAAAAAATTTTAGATTTTTGGAAAGTTTTTTAAAATAAGTAAGGAGAATGGAAAGAGATTCTAGATTTTAGGAAAGACTTTTAAAATAAGCAAAAGGAATAAAAAGAGATTTCAGATTTTAAGAAAGAATTTTAAAATAAGGAAGGAGAATAAGCTTAGAATTTCTTGTTTTAGTAAATGATTTTAAATAGGAAAATGCTTAGGACCGAAAGGGGAGGAGGAGAGAAGGAAAGGGGAGGAAGAAAAGGAAAGGGGAGGAAGAAAAGAGGAAATGAAGGAAGAAAAGGGGAGGAGTGAAAGGAAGAAGGGGAAGGAGGGGACGGCCTTCCTTTGGAACCGGCCGGTCATCCTCCAAAACCCGTGTCATGGAGTCTTTTTAGAAGAATGATACTTGAAGGTTAATGAAGTTTCTTATGGGAAGGAAAACCATCGGGTGCAAATAGGTGCATGCAAAAAAGGAAGGATTTCATGGAGTTGATGTGCGTTATAAGACAAGATTAGTGACAAAAGACTTTGCGCAATGAGAAGGGATTGATTATGACGAGGTGTTCTCCCTAGTGGTCAAGCATTTCTCAATTCGTGTTCTCTTAGCACTTGTCGCACAGTGCAGTCTGATCTTGGAACAGCTCGATATGAAGATCACATTCTTACACGGAGAATCACAAAAGGAGATCTACATGTTGCAGCTGTTTGGATATGGAGCATGAAAAGATTTGATTTGTAAACTAGACATGTCTTCGTATGAGTTGAAGCAATCACCACACTAGCTGTATAAAAAATTTGATCAATTCGTGAGGGGACATGATTACACAAGGAGCCAGTATGATCATTATGCATATTTCAAGAAGTTGACCAACAGTGAGCTCATTTATTTGCTTTTATATGCTAATGATATATTGATTGCATTTGCTAGTTGATTGAGGTTGATAGCATGAATAATCTATTGTCCAGATATTTTGAAATGAATGAATTGGGTGAAGCTCACAAAATTCTTGACATGGAAATTCTAAGGCACTAGGCAGCTGGAAAGGTTTGGTTTTCGCGAAGAGCTTATGTTTGAAAGGTGTTGAAGAAATTTGGGATTGATGACTCGAGCAAGGCGGCAGTCTACCTATTGCATCTCACTTTCAGTTGAGTTCAGATCAGTGTCCCAAATATAATCAGAAAAGGAAAGATATGTGATCAGTTCCTTATGCTGTGTAGTGGGTAGTCTGATGTTTGTCATGATTTGCACTAAACTAGACATTGCACAAGCAGTTAGTGTTGTGAACAGGGTCACACTTGATCCATGAATGAGTCATTGACATATTGTGAAGGGTATTTTAATGTATCTGAAGGGTACGGTTGTTGTTAGCTTGATGTTTGAGAGACAATCATCCAATACAGATTTGTGTGTAGGCTACACAGACTCAAACTATGCAGGTGATATGGATAGACAGAGATCTACAATTGGTTATTTATTCATATTGGCAGGAGGTCGGTTTAGTCTACTGTTGCTTTATCTACTACAGAGGCCGAGTACATGACGGTCACAGAAGCGATGAAGGAAGCAATATGATCATCTCTTACTTATCTAGAAGTAAGAGATAAGGTGGAGATTGTTATATTTTATGGCATTATTTTAATTGATTTATTATTTTTTTGATTTATTTCTTTATATGCTCTACACCTCCTCTATAAAAGAGGACTTGGTGTTTATGAGAGGCGTGAAGGAGAAGTGTTGAGTTGTAATCTCAAGCCGTTTTTCTTTCTCCCGTCCGGTAGTGAAATCTCCCTCTCAGTGGACGTAGGCGAATTCACTTAACACCGAACTACGCAGATCTTTTGTGTTTTATTGTTGTTGCGTGAATTTCTATGTTTCCGCATTATTTTTGCATGACACTTTTTTGTCATGTTGTTTGGCTGCTAACTATTTTTGTTCCGTTTGCCATGTCATGCTATGGTTGATATGGTCAAACTTCTTGCTACTATATTAATTTTCTGATAATATTAGCTCTCATACCTTAGAAGAAGTTCCGCTGCATTTCATAGTGTGTCAAGTTTTCAAGAGGACGGCGTGCTTTCCTTTTATACATCTCACTCTTTTTGTAATGCCATACTTAACGCTAGCTTTCATTTCTCTAATCTGCAAAGATGGGATTCATCTAATCTATAAAGTTTTTCACTTGATTTCAAATTTCATACAAGATAAAGAGGAGCGCGTTAAGCTTGGCGGGCATGGTATGTCTAGTCCTGTTGGAGGTCTTCTTCATAAGCTTGATCCTAGCGAGGTCAGCAAAGTAAAGGAAGCCTCAGAGAATAGCCATTTAGATCCACACATGTTGGTAGAAGAAACACCCCCAGATGCAGAAATTGCCGCAGCTGCTGCATTGATTAGCATATCTAGTGGCGATGAAATTCTTAATGAGCCTGCAAAACGTAGTTCTACAAGCAATACAATCTTACCAGATTCTCTTACTGAGCTGGTTGCTGAAGTTACCGCTGGATTGGACTCTAGCACTGGTGCTCCCGTGAAAGAAAAATGCAGTTTGGTTCCATTGCCTGATATTGTTAATGGAGACCCATCAGACTTAAAAGGAAATGGTATTGTTGAAGAATGCAATAAAGATGCTGAACCAAGCAAGCATAAATATATTTTGGATCATCATGCTTTCTTTGAAAGGAATCCAACTAGTTACACCAGTGAGGTAGTTTCTTCGCTTTGTTTCTGCTTGCGAGATTGTTTTTCATTCTTAAGGCAGTCTAACATAACCTAATAAATTTTCTATCAAGAAACTAGAAAATAAAACCGGTAATGCCTTTCAGGACATGTTTTTTTTTTCTTCCTATTATCTTTCCTACAATATAACGTAATCAGATTAAAATTTTACTGCGACTTGTAACTAATTTTCCTGAATTTCCCTGGCCAACTTGCTGACCACGTGCCTTGGGTGATTATATGAACTGGAATCTTACTCCTTTTTTCCTTTCTACAGTATTGCTTGATTCCACATAAAATTTTTACGTCAGTCTTCTTTGCCGTCTTAGAGTTACCCTACATCATTCTAAAAAAAAAAATGGGTGATTAGTGTATTTGCTGCAAGTTGAGCTCTTCCATTGTCAATTAGCAAAATGAGATCTGCAAAGCAGTTGTATTTTGCTACCTTTAATATCAACAATGAAAGGTAAAATAGCTTCCCATATCTATTATGTGAAGTATAACCAAAGCTGATTATAGTCATTCATTAATTAGTAGGAGAGCCAATTTTGAGGATGGATTAAGCCGTAGAAATAAGAAATTGGTGGCACATGAAAAGAATTTTTTTTGAACCTTGATTCTAAGCTTGCACTTTTAGCTGCACATTTGGTCCTTCAGTTGTAATTGAAACACTTTTCACTAATTAGAGTTGGACTTTCTTAGTACTTCAATTTCTAGTTAAGGGAGCAGCATATTGTTGTGTCTAGTTTGGAGAAAAGCATTGCCCAACTTAGAATGATGTTAATTTGGCCTCACGTCCTTTCTTTTCTAACTTTGCTAATTTTAATATTTGAGAACCCCTCCTCATCTATAAATTCTAAGATATTGAAACTATTTAAATCTTTTTATTTTTTCCTTCAATAATTTAATCAAGATACGCGGAGACTTGATTATATTAGAGAGATTGTATGAGTAAGACATGATAATAACTCATTAAAATGAAATAAAATTTTTTGGACAGCTCATCATTTTGTTAAGTGATGGGTTCACCCTCTGTTGTAGATTTCAATATCTTTAATAACATTTTATTTTTGCTTTAAAGGAAAAACTATTGGAGATGTCGACATAGAAAGTATACTTAAATTGTGTGAAAACGGTTGAGAGAAGAATTGAGATGCAGCAGCAAAACGAGAGAGAGAATTAATGAATAGGAATGTAAATGGTGGACAATAATCTGCATCAACCTGTGCAAACATATTAGCTGCGCATGCTGTACTTTATATGAAAGAATGAAGGATATTCATGAAGTTGATGCAAAATAGTTGCCATATGGCTAATTATCTTAATGATGATAAGTTTATCAAACCTTCTTCTTAATATCGTCATTTCTGCTTTGTCTTGCTTGTCCACTGAGGTCAATATTGAGATTGTAGGGTTTATTAACTCCTGCTATGTGGTAATATTTGCCCGTTGAGTGTTGCTATACTCTCTCTTCTTTAACAACCAGTTTGAAATCCTATATTTTTGTTGTCATAACTTCTTGTTTTTGTTTTTTTAAATAAGAGATTTAGAGAACAAAAGATATGTGACATTTTTTTTCTGTGTCATCATGATTGTTGATCTTTGCTCTATTAGAGAAATTTCATTTGATATGTCATGTGTTTCTTATTCCAGTTGAGCGATGATTCCCAGCCGCCACATGAGTTAAGCTGTCTGAAGTCAACGAACCTGTCAACCAAGCGAAAGACAAGGAAAGTTTCTCCACCTCGGATGGATGACAGAGGACTTGTCAAAAGAAGAGCTATTAAGAGATGGACTTTACTGGAAGAAAATACCTTGAAAGAAGCTGTTGCTGAGTATGTACTATGCCTGTCTCATTTGACAGTGTTCAGTATTCTTCTTACTGTATATTTATTTGGAAAAAATAATTTTTTTTAGGAAGATTTACATACATACCACTCAATTATTATGCTACGTATCAAACACCTGAATTTTTAATTTTTATATACATAACAACAGGTTATTTCATTTTTTAAAAGTTAACACAGTGGTATTTTTGATGTGATATGAAAGATGTGGGTGGTATAATTGTAAACAACAGATATTAGGTGTTAGATATGTAAATACATAGATATTGGATGTTATGCATTCGGACGCAACTTTTTTTTATTATTTATAGCGGTTGTCCTTGAGATTGAACAGCATTTTTTTTTCCCTTGTTTTATAACTAATTTATCATCACAACAGAACTCTAATTCTCCCTTTTTCTTGAGAATAGACATGGTACAGGAAACTGGAAATTGATTCTATTCTGTAACGCTGAAATATTTAAAGGGCGAACAGAGGTAGGATATTATACATGATTTTCTTCCTTTTCTACTTGCACGAATTATTTTTATTGGTGCTCTTCGTCATCAGGTTGATTTGAAGGATAAGTGGAGGAACATGAGCCGGTATTTTTTGCAGGCTTAAGCTTCTTATGATTTGATATTTAACTTTGCTGGTATGTTTGAAATATTTCAACTCTACTGCATTCTTTGTTATACTTGCTTCCATATTACTTTTGAGGTATTTACATATATACCACACAATTCTTATGTATTTACATATGTAACCCCCGAACTTCAATATTTTAACCCATAGGTTTATCACACCCAAGTATTATAAATATAAAGATAAAAGTATAGGTGTTAGATATATAAGTACTTGAGAATTGTGTCGTATTTAAGTAAATTTTTCTATTTCTTTTTGCCTTGATGCTATTGATACCTAGATGGACAGGAGGATTGAACAACATATTTGTTTACTTTGTGCAGATAAGATGCTCTTTAGATATAATATAACATAACGTGTAACGGCGGGTGGGAGCTTCTTTTCAGTGTTGAAGTTCCACCAATGGTAAAATTACCAATTTCTGTGCTCAGTTCTTAAAATTGTTTAAATACTTGTTTGTTTTCAGCATTTTTTAATTATGATTAACTTTCAAGACAAAAAAAATTGCATTCTATTTAATTCTGATAAATTTCTTTAAGCCATAGAAAAATAACGCATGCAAATTATCCTCAGCATCTCTATGATCAGCACTTTGAACTTGTTTTTGCTTAATAGGAACAAACTATACTTGTGTTCAAATCCCCCACTCTTTAATTCAACTATTTACAGTGGTCTGTTGGTGTAAATTAAATATTTTTATGTTATAGAATCCATTTATTGCCCATAATACTGATAGCTAAATCAGCATCTTCTCAGCGTTCAATTCTTATTATATTTATTTTTGTGGATTTGCTTCCTGTTCCTAATTCTATAAATTTCCTCAAGTGTGAGTAAAAGAGCCAGAAATGTAGAAGAAATTGGGCTTTGCTCGCTTCTCTATTCTCTCAATGTTATAGAGTTGCAGGCATGTTCTGTTTAATATTTTCTTTTTCTCAACTTATTTCTGAAGGTTTAGTTTTTCTATACAACAACAACAACAACGAAGCCTTAATCCCACTACGTGGGGTCGGCTACATGAAGTCCTATTTAGTTTTTCTATAAATAGTAATTTCTTTTTTGCTGAAAGCTTTTCAGTAATTTCGTGGGCAATGATTCACATTCAATTTTGAAGTTGGAGAGTTTGGACTGCAACTTAAAAGGAATCCATCTTTTATGCTTGCTTGAATTGAACAACAACTGCTTTGCACTCACTATTGTCATCTAACGTTGGCCACTTCCACACCCCTACTGATTTTTTTTTTTTTTAAATTTTCTTCTTCAACGTACAGGTTTTATTTAATATGAAACAAAGTGAATTTTGTCCAATTTCTTCGTCTACTCGTTGCTCTTTTGTAGCGGTTGACTATTAATCAAAATCAGAGTTACAAATGAACTGAGTCAGTTGAGTAGGATTGTGCTCAAACTGGAGCTTGGTTATAAAATTCGAGCTTGCTTTTGTGTTTATGCTCAAACTTGGTTCATTTGTCATATTCTGATTGTTTAAGCTAAGTTCATATTTGTTTCATATGATGATAATTAAGTCATTATCAAACAAATTAACAAGTAATATTATGGATCTATATGATCTCTAATCAAATGTTTTTTTATAAAATGAATTGAAATTAGTGATATCGAGCTATTTATTTACTAACATGCCCATCCAAAAGTAGATTTCCTAAGCTTTCTAAGCCTAATGGATTGAGCTCAATTCTCACAAACCTAAACCCTGCTACAAGCATATTGTTCTCGCCAACCATGTCCTTCAAAGTTACAATTATAGGACTTGGCGAGTTCCTCCATCGAGCTCGCCAGTATGCGAGTTCTCCACCAATCTCGTCGGTATTCATGCGAGTTCTCGCTTGCATTTATGGAGCTACACCGACAATGTTTGTTTAACAATTCTTCAAGGCCTGCATGATAGGAGGAAACAAATTCTAACCTATCATTGTCCATACTCATTTATGAGCCTCTTGACACCCATGATAATGTGCCATCAACGACAAATCTCAACGGACCTCGTATATTATGACTTGCAATTTATTATTTTTCTATTTTTTAATCTTTTGCTGTAGCCCTACAAGGGCAATAACGTTGAGAGTGATATAAAGAAGGGGGAGGGGAAAATAATAAGGGGGGATCCACGTCTACTGCCTTCCACCTTCACTCACCTAACAAGGTCTCTCCCAAATTATATGTATTCATGAATTATATGGGAATTTAGGTTCTAAAACGATTCAACATAACCGAATGGGTCTTATCAAACAAATTAATGAGTTGAATGACTAAGTTATTTTTTTTTTCTAATCAAATGATTACTTGTTGCACTTACAAAAACAAATGAGCTTTTAAATAAAGAAGCTACTAAATGAATAATTGAAGTAAGCATACAAATGCACAAACTAAATAGATAACTAAACCAAGCTTTTATCTTATTCTGATGTACTATGAATTAAAAATTAATTAAATTTTAATATAAATGAGTTATAAATTTAGTTTTAACTGGAGTTTATTTACAAGTTTTAAATTAACCTTTAATCTATCTTATTCACAAGCATTAAATCAAAGCTTATTCTTGAGTTTGTTCATGGATTTAAAATGAATTTATTCATCGAACTTCTTAACAAGATCTAGATGATATTGTTCATGAACTCGAATGAATTAAGTAAGAAATTCTTTATACTTATTCATTTAATAATTAAGCATTTATATACGTGTTTCAGTTTATTCAATTAATTTATCAAACAAATATGAACGAGCTTTTATCGAGCCGGACTTCAAGTAGCTTATCAAACTTGTTTTGTTTGTAACCATAAGCCAAATTATGTAGAATTGTGGAGCATGAAT